TTATCAGAATTACACTAATCCAATACATGAAGAAAGAGTTTTCTTGGGCAAGCTGAATGAAACAAATTTAATCCCTCCATCAGTTATTTTATGACCAAAATTAAATTCTTTCTAATGTTTCCCACTTTAAATTTAATTTTACGAAATTATTTTTTCATGAAAATCACTTAGTCTCATGGGGTAAATGCCACCATGAAGATTTAATTCTTCTCTCAGTCATTTTTAGTCTATATCTGATTTCACCAGTTTCCTGCCATTGTGCGTTGTCTACTATGTCCATTATTTTTAATTGGTCCAATTTTTTCAGGTCACATTTGATTATCTAAATGTCAAAATTTTACTCCCTGTTTGAATTTTAGTCAATATCTAATTTAACATGTCAGTTTTCGTTTCTGTCACCTTGATTTTGTGTTGGTTATTTCTATACATCTGTGGTAGTTTGTATTATTATTATTTTTTTTTTTTTTGGCGGTACACGGGCCTCTCACTGTTGTGGCTTCTCCCGTTGCGGAGCATAGGCTCCGGACACGCAGGCTCAGCGGCCATGGCTCACGGGCCCAGCTGCTCCGTGGCATGTGGGATCTTCCCAGACCGGGGCACGAACCCGTGTCCCCTGCATCAGCAGGCGGACTCTCAACCACTGCGCCACCAGGGAAGCCCAGTTTGTATTATTTGCTCACAGTTCTGCCTTCCCTCCTCACGCTCTCCACATACCCTCTACTGGAGGACATTTCTCTACTCATTGATGTTGAACTTGACTGTGTTGGCAGTCTATATTTTCCAAAGATGACCACAATGTATTTCCCATCTCACATTCATCTCTCAACATTTTAAAAAAAATTTTATTGAAGTATAATTGACTTACAACGTGGTGTTAATTTCTGCTGTACAGCAAAGTGACTCAGTTTTTTATATATATATATATATATATATTCTTTTTCATGTTCTTTTCATTCTGGTTTATCACAGGATACTGAATATAGTTCCCTGTGCTGTACCTTGTTGTTTCATTCATCTCACATCTTACATTGACCTTGATGTCTTCCCATCAAGTAGGGGAGGTCTCTGTCCCCTCCCTCTTGAACCTGAGTGGATCTCTGTGAGAGCCTTGAGCAACAGGGTTCAGAAGTGATGTGTCTTCTGTGGCTAGATCATAAAAATACAATACACTTCCCCCTTGCTCTCTTGGAACCCACCCACCATGCTTTGAGGGAGCCCAAACTAGCCCACACAGAGAGAACACCTGGGGAATGCCACAAAGAGGTGTTCTGGTTGACGGCTCCAACTGAGGTCCCAGCTGACAGCCAATGTTAACCACCAGATGTGTAAGTGAAAACACCTCCAGAAGATTCTGGCCACAGCCTTGAATATTTCCAGCTGGCGGCGCAGACAGTCTAGAGCAGAGGCAAGCAGTTCCCAGTGTGCCCTGCCTAAATTCCTGAACTACAGAATCAGTGAGCATAAGGAAATGGCTGTTTCATGCCTTTAAGTTTTAAGGGGGGTTGTATTGTAGCAGTTGTAACCAGAGCACCACAGGACTTGCTTTGACTGGTGGAACGCGGTGCTGGTTCTGTGTGTGGTTCTGAGCCTGGGCTTTCAGAGCATCGTGGGTCTCCACTGTCTCTCTGTCCCCTCAGGAGTCTCTGACTCCTGTCATGACAAAAACATGTGCCTGCTGGTCCCAGAAATAGGAGATACATGAATAACCCTGAACCCAACTGTTACGGGCTGAATTGTGTCTCCTGCAAATTCCTATGTTGAAGTCCTAACCCCTAATACCTCAGAATGTGAAAGCACTTGGAGATAGGGCCTTTAAAAAGGTGATAAACTTAAATGAGGTCATCAGGGAAGGCCCTAACCTGATCTGCCTGGTGTCCTTATAAGAAGAGGAAATCTGGACACACATGGAGACACCAGGGATACAAACAGAGAGGAGTGACCACATGAGGACACAGTGAGAAGGAGGCCATCTGCAAGCCAAGGAGTGAGGCATCAGAAGAAACCAATCCTACCAACACTTCAATCTTGGACTTCTAACCTCCAGAACTGTGAGAAAATACATTTCTGTTGTTTAAGCCACCCAGTCTGTGGTATTTTGTTATGGCTGCCCTAGGAAACCAAAACACCAACCCAGAGCCTGGAACTAAACCTGGCGGATCCCAGCAGAGCCTCAGCCAACCCACAAGCCCATGAAAGATAGAAATAAATGCTCAAAGTTATAAGCGATCAAGTTTTGGTGTTGTTTGTTACACAGCATTATTGTAGGCGAAAAAATGACTAGTACGACATCAAATTTTCCCCAGGCCAATTTTGACAATTTTCTTTATTACCCACAACATAATTCCTTAGCAAGTTATTAATCTAAACAAAGTTTATCACCTGCATAGTTCAACATCTTCAGTTATGTCGAAACTGCTCCTGCTGCTAGCAAAGCATCAGGGCCTGGGTCAAAATAATGGGGTCAAAACATACTATCAAACATTTCTATAGCTCTTATCCCCCTTAGCCTCCCACTGGCCATGTTCATGCCAGTCCTGCCCGCAGGCCAGGAGACCCGAATGCCAGGGCTCCTTTCTGCTCCATGTCTGCATCCCCAGCATCTTTCATGCTAAGGCAGTGAAATGGATCCCTCAGGCCAGACAGAAACTTGCACCAAGGCAGCTGTCTTTCTCAAATAAAAATTAAATGGATGTTCAAGGCTTCCCATCCTCTGGCCCCCACATACTCCCTCAGCTCCATCTTTCCCTGCTTTTCCCCAGACTTGTGTCTTCAGTAGAGGCAGCTGAGACTCCAAGGCCCTGTATGAGTCTCCCACTTCCCTGTCTCCCTTGTTCATCTCTTCCTTATCCTGCGACAACCCACTGGCTTCCTTTATTTCCTCTTTCATGCCACGGTCCTCACTACCACAGGGCCTTTGCACATGCTTTTCTTTGCCTAAAATGCTGTTCCACCACCCCTTTCATCTAGTTTACACCCAGTCATCCTTCATATTGTCACCAAGCAGGACCCTATGAGGCCTTCCCTGAATAGATCCCCACCCATGTCCTCCACCTGCTTTTTGTCTGTAGAAAAACTTTAGTCAAAGTTTTAAAGAATAAAGTTAATCAGAGAAGTGAGAAAATGCAGAAAGAAAGGAAAACAGTCAAGCAAGACAAAATAATAATACTTTAGCCATTAAACAAAGTCAAGGACCTTTAGTTCTTCCTCGAGGACTATAGATAATATTCTGAGCCATGTGCTTTGAGCTGTTTTGCAGATACTGAAACCCCCACCAGGTGGGAGAAGTTAACTGTGGGCTGCCCGCGAGCACGCAGACCCCAGTCCACTTGGAACAAGGTGGCTGATGACGCTGACTCCTGATTACCTCCCCGCCAACCCGTCAGAACAATGTCCATGAGCTGATCACACCCTCCGCTCCTTGAATACTATAAGACCCCTCACTACCCCCTCCAGGGCAGGACACACATCCCTGAGGGCATTAGCCCACTGGGGCCCCCTCTGCCTGGCAAAGCAATAGAGCTATTTCTTTCTACTTCACTCAAAATTCTGTCTCTGAGGTTTAATCTGGCACCAGTGCACAGAGGATGAATTTCAGCAACAATATCTCAAATATGAAGACACTTCTTCAGGGAAGCCCACCCTGACTTCTCTAGATTAGGTCAGTCCAAGTACCATGTATCTCCCCTTCTCAGCACTCATCTGTTCTATAATTTATTAGGGTGACCATTACAGACTTTCAGATTCATGAGGACTGGAAATCACGACACTGGAATGAGGTCTCATTCACTCTGTCCCCAGAGTCTGGTACATAGTGGATGCACGATAAATATTTGTTGATTGAATGAATATTGTCCCAATTGCCCTGCTGAATCCCTCCATTGGCATCCAGGGTGTCCTTGGAGGTGTGCCGCTCAGATGTCTCTTCAAGAGGACCTGCTATGAAGAGGATAGGTGTATGACCACCTCCAGCTGCTGCACTTTCAGAGCTGCTGCAGTGTTCATGCCAAGGCCACAGCCCCCCTAGGAAACCAAGGACTACAAAGGACTGAGCACAGTGGGACTCTAGGGATGGGTCAATTTTGCCCAACACAGGACTCATCTAATGGGCTTTTTTTGCTCTAAGGCTCCCCATTGGCCTGGCCAAGACTTTCTCAAAGATGCTGTGCCAGTTATCAATGTATCGCCCCTCCACCCCAAATTCACCCCTCAGTGCCTGCTCTAAGATAATGAGCAGGACTCTGGGCACTGCCCCCTTTACAGTGAGATGCTACACTTCTCCAGTAGAGGGTGCTGGAGGAGACATACCAAGAGGAAAGGAGGCTTCTCTTCTTGGTTCTGGGGTATGTGTGTGTGTATTCCTATATAATCTGCTTTCTGCCCCAAGACCAACCCTCTCCCACAACACACACCTTCCTACTATTCTCCAAGTCGTTCTACTCCAGTCACTGTGGCCTCCTTGATGTTCCACATTCCACAAACTGACAAACTAAAATCCTGTCTCAGGATCTTTGCACTTGCTGTTTTGTCCTGTCATATGCCACCTCTTCTAAGAGGCTTCACCTACCACCCCCAAACCCCTTTTAGCTCTGTCCCTTTACCCTGCTGTTTTGTTCCTTCATAGCACTGGTTACTGTGTAACATACTGTATATTATACTTACTTATTCCTTTTTCTGTCTCCCCCCCTACACACACACACACACACACACACACACACATAAACACCTCCTCCATGAGGCCAGACACTTTGTGTGTCTCGTTCACTGCTGCATCCCCAGGGCCTAGATTAGTACCTGGCACACAGCAGATACTCAGTAAGTATTCTGCCTTTCCTAATCCCACCTATCATTTAAGGCTCAACCCCAACCTCTACTCCTCCAGGAAGCCCTCCCTGATAAGTGGGGCCCTGGAAAGTGGCTTACTGCCTCTCACCTACTGTCCTGCCCAATTTTAGGTATAATGTAGGCTTTATGGCAGGTAGAGACTGCGGTGGAGACTAAAGGCAGATGAGAGCAGGCCAGCTTTATTGGGGTTAAGTGGCGGGGAGGGGCCTCCATAGGCTCCGGGCCAGGGCAGAGCTGCAGCGCGAGCAGCTGGGATGCCACGTCACTTCTTCCACTCCTTCCTCTCATAGTCCCACCGGGAGGCCAGGCCTTGCACAGGGTTGCTTTTCATGTCCAGGATGCGCTGGAGCTGCTGGGCCTTCCACTCATCCATCAGGGTGATGGGTTTCTTAGGGAACACTGCAGGGAAGGAACCGGGTAGGGACAGGGTCATGCGGGACCCTGCCGGGCCCACCCCCTCCCGCTGAGCCAGGGTCTCCAGGCACAAGGTCAGGGTGCCCTGCATGAGGACCCCTCGCCACCCTGTCCATCCGCCACCAGACTCCCCACTAAAGCTGCACTCTGGGGACCTCTGAGTTATGATCCCTGCTCTGCCTTAGACTTGGTGTGGGAACTGGGCCAAGGTCCTTCCCCTTAATGAGCCTCAGTTTCCTCACCTACTCTGTGACCCAAGGGTAAGAGGAGCACTGGTTTGAAGTCTTCCTGGGTCCAAATCCCAGCTCTACCACTACCTTGCTGTGTGACCTTGAACAAGTCACTTCATCTCTGAGCCCCAATTTCCTTACCTGTCAAAAACAGGTACTGTCCACCAGGGTTGTGGGGATTGAATGTGTTAGTATTTATAATGCAATTGGCAGAATGAGGGAAGATATGAAAACCCCTAATACATGATAGCTACTATAATTACTGAGTTTGCTCCCACTTATTGGGAAGGGCCCAGGATGAGACAGTTTCTTATGCTTCCTGAAGGGGTTGGGAGTGGGAGGTAGGATAGGGGTGTTCACTTTAAAGCTATGGGGACCCAAAGGGTGAACTCACGGAGGCATTTTAGGTGCCTTGATGTGTGGACCTAGAAAGGCCTGGGGGCCAGAGCTCCCAGCCCTGCTCACATCCTACTTCCTGGTCCATCTGCGCCTGAGGCCAGCTTAACCTGCCTGACCTTTGTCTCTGGTACTTTCTATTCCAGTGGGTGTGAAAGAAGGGAAAGATCTTTATGGGCACCTATTAGTACCAAACATTGGACTAGAATAGAATTTTTCCCAAAGGTTCTCTCATTTCACCCTCATGCAAGGTAGGAATTCCCATCACACTTTTACAGAAGAAGAAACAAAGTGAGGCCTCTGGAGGTGAAGTCAATTGAGGCAGAGACTGCCACCTCATCCCCAACATGCTCCCCTCTACTTCCAGAGCAGTGCTTCTCAAACCTGAGTGCGCATCAGAATCACCCAGAGGGATATTAAAACATAGATTGCTGGGCTCCAGCCTCAGAGTGTCTGACTCAGTAGATCCAGAGTGGGGCTGAGAATTTGCATTTCTAAGTTCCCAAGTGAAGCTGTTGGTCCAGAGACCCCACTTTGAGAATCACTCTTCTGTAGTAATAAATGGTCGGTTGGGTACATGATTACTCAGCTAAAGCCTATATTTCCCAGCTTCCCTTGTGGCTACGCATGGTCATATGATCACTTCTAGCCAATAGGATGTGAGCAGAAGTGGTGGTGCAAATTCTGGACCTAAGAGAGAGCGTGTCCTCCCTTTCCCTCTTCTTGGCTGGAATGTAGGCTTTATGGCTGGAGCTGGAGCAGCCATTTTGTATGTCAAGAAGGAAGCTGCATGTTAAGGATGGCAGAGCAACAAGACAAAAGGAGTCTGATATTGTGGAATCCCCATACTCCCCCTGGCCTTTTTTGTGAGAGAGGAAAAAAACTTCTATCTTGTTTAAGCTCTTGTACATTGGAGACTCTTTGTTGCAGCAGCCAAAACAATATACTGAAAAGTTCACGGTTAATAACAGCAATCAGTAACAACATCGTTCATAACTATGTGCCAGGCACTAGGCAACAGTTTTATAATTAAATCCTCACAAGAACCCTGAGATGTGGGCACTATTGTTCCCATTTTACAGATGAGAGAATTGAGGCCCAGAGAGGTAGGGTCCCTACATTGCAACCCAGGCAGCCGTGCTCTGCCCTTCCCCATACACCTCTTTGGGGGACTTTTCAAAACTCTTCAGATGAGTGCCAGCATAATTCCCTTATCAAAGCTTGGCTGGTGGCTGTGGCCACAAGGGCACGGCCGAGGGCTGCGGCCAGCTGAGACACTGCCACTCACCATAGACCCGCTGCCACCAAATCAGCAGACCTGTGAATCCAAAGAAGAAGAAGACACAGCCCATCACTGTCTTCCACTCGTTGGAGCGACGGTTCATCTCTGTGAAGGTCTCATGGAACTGGAGCCGGTACACTGGAGGCAGGGGAGGGGTGGGGGAGGAGGGGTCTCAGGTGCATCCATTCCAAGGGCCCTGGGCCAACTCTTGGCCTCAGGGACCTCCAGCCCCCCCCTCCCTGCAGCAGATGCTGTCCATTCAGCAAATTCTTATTGAGCATCTAGCATGTGCAAAGCATGGCCAGGAGCTGATGGCAAAGCTGGCTCCCAGGGGCACTTCTGGTGGGCAGCACTTGGGGTCACACATCCCTCCTGCTTCCCAGGGTCAGGCCCCTGCTCTTCCACCCACCTCACCTGCCTCTTTCTGCTCCATCTCCCCTTACCACTCAGTGATGCCCAGGACCCTCCATGCTCTCCAGCTCTTATATCCTTCCCCATGCTGTTCCTACTACCTGGCAGCCCCTCCTCCTCAGCATCCAAAGCCAACTGGAACAACCCTCCTCTGGAAGGCCCACCAGGATTCCATCTTTCTCTCTCCCTTGGGTTCTCACAGCCCCCTGAACACACCTCACCCAGCCGCATATCCTGTATTACAGCTATCTGGGCTTGTGTTGGTTCCCCCACTGGACTGGGAGCACCCTGAGGGCAGGAACCCTCAGGGGGATTCACTTCTGTGTCCCCAGCATCGCCTAGCACCAGGCTGTGCACAAACAGTTCAATGAATAAAAAAATGAATGAAGAAAGGAATGAATTTCACCCCTCAGGTATGCATTCGAGTCTTTGGGTGGTTCTGGCTGTCTTGGCTGGGGGCTCTCCCTGCCCACTGTCACTCCGTGACAGGCCAGGCCCTTCTTTGCAAAGTCGCCCCCAGCCCCACCCTGAGACCTACGGGCCACCTTCTCAGCATGGCTCAGCTGCGTCCAGCTGCCCTTCTCCTTCTCCTTCAGGGCCTGCTGCTCTGCGTTGAGCTCCGTGCAGAAGGGCTCATCGGGCATGGGGTAGGAGCGCTGGGCATGGTAGTTGGTGTAGGGGGGCATCTTCTCCTTGCCGTGGGCTGCGGGCACAGGGAGGAACTGAGTTCAGGCTGTCCCTGGGACGTCCTGGCACTAACCGCAGTATTAACAAAGAGGGTGGCACTTATTGAGCACTTACTGTGTGCCAGAAGCCATGCTAAGGCCTTCGGGCGAGTTGACTCATTGGCTCGGCATCACTCTGAGACAGTGATATTGCTCTCTTCATCTTAGAGAGGAAGAAACTGAGTAGCTAAGGGACTTGCTGAAATTCACAGAGCAAAAGGGAGCCGGGCCAGGGCTGCAATTCAGCCCCTGTGGCTTCAAATCCTGTGTCCTCTGGGAAGATCTGGGGTGAGGAGGGCACATCAGGCAAAGGCAATGGGTAGAGAAAGGTTCAGTGTGATGAACCTGAGATGGCAGATGGGAAACTGCCCCCACATACTGTAAAGCATTATCCCTATGCTTGTTTTTTTTTTTTTTTAGAAGATGTTGGGGATAGGAGTTTATTAATTAATTAATTTATTTTTGCTGCGTTGGGTCTTCGTTTCTGTGCGAGGGCTTCCTCTAGTTGTGGCAAGCGGGGGCCACTCTTCATCGCGGTGCACGGGCCTCTCACTATATCCCTATGCTTTTAATGAGTGGTCAAGGGCACAGCTTTGGAGTTGCGGAACCCCAGTTCCACCCCGGCCCAGCTCTGACAAGCCCCTTTACCTCACTGTGTTCAACGTCCTCATCCGGAAAGTGGGGAGAGTAAAAGATCCAACCCCACACTGTTGTGGAAGCTTCAAGATAATGCACTCAAAAGGCTTAGCACAGTGCCTGGCACACAGTAGATGCTCCATAAATTACACTGATAGACAGCGGTTGGCTTTACCTCTGGCTTCCATTCTTGGAAGCTTTCCCTGATGGCTAAGCCCTCAAGGGCTCCATGTGAGTGTCCAGAACAAGGCTGGGTGCTCGAAGGGTCTCAGTAAAGCTTCTTCTGTTTATTGTCACCAGAGATGCCCTCAAGGAGGGCATTGGTACCACCTTGCCCAAATAGCATGGGAACTGCTTTGGGCAAAGAGTCCTGGCTCTGGGCCTGTTTGTTTACCTGAGAAATGGAGATAACAGCATAGCATCCACTTCATGTGTTTGCTGTGAAGTCTAAATGTGTTAATCTCTGCAAAAAGTTTATCACAGCTCACGGTACATCGTAAGGGCTCAATAAATGTTATCTGTTTTTATTCTCCAGAGGGTCAGGAAGGCCTTTCTATCTGGCTGAAGTCTCTCCTACTTTAGGCCTCTTTCTTCTGACTAGCATGGACACAAGGGTCTGGAAAGGCGGTCCAAAGTTCTGTCAGCACCCTCAGTCTCAGGACACAAAGGTCTTAGGGGCCTGAGATATGGGGGTCAGACCCTGAGAAAGCTTGGGAGGAGGGGACGGCTGTCTCTATTTCCTGGAAGAATGTGGCCCCGGACCAAGGGGTAGGATCATGGGAAATGGTTTGGGGCAGGCCCAGGGCAGCATGAAAGGGACCAGGGGCAGCCTGCAGACAGGACCCTTGCCCCTGGCCTTGCAGTTAGGCGAGGGTCAGGGCGGGGTGGGTGTCCAGGTCTTACCAGTGCCTCCTGGGCTGTGGATCCCTCGCATTCCAAGTCCTCCTTTCCTCAGCACCAAGCTCCAGGCAGCTCTAAAGGACATCTGGGGGTGTGTGTGGATGAGTCCTGCCCTCTGCCCTCTGCCCTTCCCCTCAGGATCCAGAGGAACAGCTTTTTCACAGGTGCTGTGGCTGGGGGACTGGTCCCCGGGATTTCAAGGTCACCACCTGCCCCTTCTAATTTTGTATGATATACCTATTGGGGTTGATGGGCATCCTAGACATTTGGAGCCCCCTCCTGGGACCTCAGTTTACCATCTGAGAAGTGGGAGGAGGCCTAACTCTTAAGGCAGGACCTGAACAGTTTGGGTCTGGGAGCCTGGGTTCTGGTTCCAGCCCCAGCTCATGGTGGCTAGGTTGGGAAACCTCTGTCAGCTGTTTGTCCTCTAGAGGAAACAGGGTGGGAGTCCAGGTAGGGAGGGAGCAGGTCCTGGGATAACTCTCCTCGCTACAGGGCCATCTGCCAAGGTCTCCTGCAGATGGTTTGGCCCCCACCCCTTCCCCCATAATTGGCTGCCTACGTGCGTGGAGAGCCTGCTCTGCTGGACCTGATGGGAGAGGGAGACAGGCGAGCCCAACCCTCCATCCCCGGGGAAATCTCAGGGTCTGGCATCCCAGGGGGGCGAGGAGGGGACTTAGAGGAGGACACGGACCAAACTGGGACAGAGGGAGGAAGAGAGGCACACATCTGGGGAGAAGAAGGGGGTATCCCACTTCTGGAAATTGAAAGAGGCCCCGCATCTAGGGAAACAGAGGCACCCAATCATTAGAGAGAGGGAGGGGCGTACCATATATGGAAAGTGGGAAGGGGCTGCACATCTGGAAAGGAAGGGCTCCCCATTAGTGATAAGTGGTTGAGAGCCCCACCTATGGGGAGGGAAGGAGTAATCTACATTTGAGGAAAGAGATGGCTCCCCATATGCGGACGGAGGAAAGTTCCCCTCAACTCTGAGCTGCCAGTAGCCGCCCGCCCGCCCCACCCCCCATGCTCCTCTATAGCAGCGCCCCCACGGGTGGTAAAAGCCGGAGTCCCAGCCGCGTCTCCCACCGGCCCGGGTTTGGGCAGCCGGGGCTCTTCCCACCCACTCACTTACCGTGCGGCTCAGCGGAAGCCAGAACGCGAGGGTCTGCGAAGCAAGTAACGGAGAACAGGCTGCAGAGGGACAGGAGCGCTGGAGCCCGCCTCCGGGCCCGCCCCACAGCCTTTCCCAGGACCGCCTCCGCGTGGGAACGTCCTGCCTGGGAGAGCCCAGCCCGCGTCCCTGGGGGCTCCCAGCCACAGACTGGGGAGAGGGGCTGCGCAATGACTCCCCACCTCAATTTCCCTGCCCACCGGGGTCCTGCCTCTGGAGACCACCAGCTGACGCAGCCCTGGGACCAGCTGGCTGTGTGTCCTGGGCTGGCCCAGCCCTGTGAGTCCGGTTGTCCCAGGAGCTGGATCTTCCTGCCTTCACACCTTTGCTCACCGCTGTTTCTTCCACCTGCAATGCTCCCTTAGGGCTTTTGAGGACCCAAGTCTTGGCAACTTTCCAGCCCAGACCCCATGCCTTCCTGCTCCAGGAAGCTACAAGCACCTAGAATCTGGGAGCTGGCCTGCGGTGTACCACCTGGCACGAATGCCCTCATACTCAATGACAGGTGAAAAAAGCCTCCCCCTGGGTTCAAATCTTAGCTGTGTGACCTTCAACAAATGGCCTAACCTCACTGAGTTTCTGTTTTCTGAAAAAGAGAGCTAATGATATCTCTTACCTTACATGATTGTTGTAAAGATTAAATATGTCAATAGAAAAATATGCATCAGGCACATTTATTCAAGAACTATTTATTAAGACCTATTACAGCTGGCATTATTGTCTACTGTTTAACAGGTTAAATGCTTGGGGATTTAGAGACAAACAAAATCAAACACGGTCCCTGCCATTTTAGGGCTTACAATCCAGTCCAAGCAGAGAGAGGCCTGTGCAAAGGCCCAGAGGCAGAAAAACACAGGTGTGTTCACAGAACAGAGAAAGGCCATCTTGGCCAGAGTGTAATGGGCAAAGGAGAAAGCTGGAGAGAGGCTGGAGTACCAAGCAGGGCCTCATAAGCCACGGTGTGGATCTTGGATTTTATTTGAAAGCTGGGAAGCCAAAAAAGGTAAGTAGGGGAGTGATGTGGTTAAATGGAGCAGAACATGCGTTCAGTAAATATGGCTTGGAATTGTTAGAATACTGATTCTGGACTGATGGGTGAAGGCTGTGAATTCTTTCGTGGCCTGGGGCCAGAACTTTCTAGGTCTGCAAGCTCTGGTCCCCTGAGGTGTGCCGAGCACCCACCCACCCTTCAGGGTTCCTGTAGCCCATTGAAGCCATAGAGACCCACTCTAGCCAGTGCCTGGAGGAAGGGGCTTAGTGCCCTGGAAACAGATGAGTCTTGAAGAGCAGGGACTCAGGGGGAGGTACTAGAGAGACCGTAGAGTGGGCAGGATGCATGTCACCTCCATTCTGGGAGGTGAGAAGGCAGTGTGGGAGTCTGCTGGATGTCCAAGAGACCCCAGCTCCCAGGACTGGCCATGCTTACTCCTGGGGGCTGCTCCTCCCCCTTCCCCATGATCAAGGGAATTCCAGATTTGAGAGAACCCAAAGAGAACCACCTTACCTCTTGGATGCTGCCCAGGGTGTCCTGAAGATTAGCCCTAAGGACAGAAGATGAGGTAAGGCCCTCCTTCAGGCAAACTGGGGAGGACACACCTTGAGCCTTGTCAGATCTTTCCAGGGGCAGGTGGGTGCTGGCTGCATTGGGGTGAGTGGCAAATGTGTAGGCTTTACTGCTGCCACACTCGTGACTAAGTGGATCCGTTTCTGGGCCTCAGTTTCCCCATCCATTACAAGGGCCTCCCAAGGGAGAACTTGACCCTGGAGAACTTGACCCTCTGTTCTTCTCTACCGTCTCCCACCCCCATCTCTGTGGGAATGCCAGGCTCCAGATGTGGAGCAGTGCTGTGACAAGGAACATCTGTTTGGGAAGCCGGCCCCAGGGCTGAGGGTGATGGGGTGATGGCAGGCTCCCCGGCGGCTCAAGGTTGATACAGGGCAGCACCACTGCCTAGAGGGCGATGCCCAGCAGCGTCTTGAGGTCTGGAACCTGGAAATAGTCAGACTCTCCCATAAAGCAGGTCACTCAGGTGTCCTGGGGCCGAGGAGTAGGAGTCTTCCGTGGGAACCTTGGTGGGCACAAGGTGGGCTCCACTCACGGCAAGGGGCCCTACATGTGAATGCAGGCTGAGATTTCAGAAACAGCAGGAATAGGAGGTGAGAGGGATCTGTCCCTTTCAGGCGGCCCTGCGGCTCCAACCCCCCAGCAGGAACCCATACAGAAAGGAGCAGCTCTCTCTCACTTGATCAGATTCAGGGAGGCCCTGAGTTTCTGCTCAGACACAAAGACCTGAGCCACAATCTCAGCATCCTGCTGGTACGACCCCTTCCCCTCCCATTCAGGCTTCATGCAGGACCCACCTCTGGCCTCCCAGCCCAGAGGAGATACTGAGGAAGAGCTAGGCCTCATGGAGGACACAAAGCCGAAAGTAGGAAGAGGTGTCGGACAAAGCGTTGCGGACCCGTATCCCCAGCCCCTGGGGAGCCCCTGGAGCCATTTGAACATGGGGAGGAGGCCTGGGATAGGAGTGGGCGAAGCCAAGACGTGCAGGGACTGGGGAGGAGACATAGGGTAGTCGGAGACCGGAAGGTAGCAGTAGGCGGGGCTTATCCTTAGGGGCGGGGACTGCGTGTAAGAGTGGGCCAGGGAAGAGCAGGGCAACCGAGGCACTAAGGGGATGGGGCCAGTTGGGCGGAGGTGGGGTGGGGGGGCCGGTAAACAGAGGGGGCGTGGTCAGGACAGAGCAGAGCCCGATCCCGCCCACCAGCTGGAAAGCTGACTCCCAGCAGGGACACTGTGATTCCGGGACACTGCGGCCTTCAGGGCGACGGGCAGCGCCAGCATGAAAGTGCCCGGGCGGCAGCGCAGGCTCGGAGGACGTCGTGCGAAGACCCGCAGATCCAGCAGGGACCAGTCCAGAAAGCGCTTCTGCAGCTGTAGACAGGAGGGCCGGCTCAGAACCGACGCCGAACCAGGGCTACCACGGGGGCGGTCGCTAGTGGCGCGTTTCCCGGCCCTAGGAACGATCCCGTGGCGCGATCAGGAGCAGGTGGACGCCCTCGGATGGATTTCAGTGGGACGGGACGGGACCGGTGGTAGCCTGGAAGACGGAAACCTCCTTCCTGCAGGTCTGTTATCTCTGCACCACCACACCTGGGGCACGAAGTGAGCGAAGCCCGCGTTGTTCAGCCGGAAGAGGAATTCCTCGCAGAGTTGCAGGGGAGACGTTTGAGGCCGACCCCTCTGGCTGTCACTCATGGCCTCTTGCCCCCCCCCACAGGCGGCCGTTATTCTAGGTCCCGCCACCTGCCTCACTCTACTCACCTACGTCCCTCGTCTCCTCCCTCCTTCCCCGTCCTCGAGCTGCCAGTCATCTTTCCCTGGCCCCTTGCACAGTCATTGTGCCCGCACCTCTGGACTCTACGTAGTAGTCTAGCGTTCCACCATCTCCAGCCCTACCCCAGTCCCGTCAGTTATCCCTGGCCTCGCCCAGCTCGCCTAGCTGAGCCCGCCCGCCGGCCCCGCCCGTACCCTGAGGCTCCTCCTCAATCGCTCAGCCCGCGGCCGGCCCCTTGCCCAGTTAGTCCTTCCCGCACTGCCTTCGCAAGACTCGTTAAACCCTCTTCCTGGCTCTAGCCTTGCTCTTTCAGTCATTCTGTGGTGCCGCCCACTCCCGAGCCCTGCCCTTACTGTGAGCCTGCTCGCCACAGCGCGCCCCAGCCGAGCCCCAACCCTGTCAGCAAGCCCCGCCCCCGCAGGGCACAGCTCACTTTCCCTAGATCCTCCCCGAGGCCCTGCCCATTCTGTCACTTCCCTCAGGCCCGCGCCTGCTCCGGCCTCGCCCCGACTGTCACGCAGGCCCTCCCTGTCTGTCCCCAGGGCCCCGCCCCTTCCAACCCGCTCAGGCCCCGCCCCCACCACGTGGTCAGTGAGGGTGCAAGCCGGAGCCCCCACGTTGCAGGCGACCGCAGAGGCAGAGGAGGCGAAGACGTTCCCCGAGCGGAGCAGGACGGTGAAGCCCTCAAGCTCTGACCACAGGAAGGGCACGAAGCAGCCGGACGGGTATCCAAACTCGCCTCGAGCCAGGAGAAGGGGCGCGGGGGTGGGGCTTCGACAGAACTCGCTGCATTGGCGTCCCGGGCCTGGGGTCCGGGTCCTCATCAGCACCATCCCCGACCTGGGCAGATGTATACAAACGACATCAAAGGACCCCCTGGTTATCAGGGGCCGTTAAACTGAGCGCTTGGGAGGCCCACATCTAGGATTCTAGTCCCAGCTCTATCCTCTGCTGGTTTCAGCCCCTCTTCGTGGCTGCCTGCATGGCCTCCTTTCCACGTTTCTATAATGCCAGTCACACCCAAACTCTGCTTGGGGACCAGGAGGGTGAATGCGATGGTCTAAGCGGAGCTTCTCCTAGAGGTGCCCACAGCAGTGACGTATCAGCCAAGCTATGGATGGAGCTATGGGCAGTGTGGGCATTGCCTTGAGGTCCAGCCCAGTGTTCTGCTCTGACCACCGATAGAATAGTCCAACTTGGCGAAGGGCTGTGGCCGTGGGATCCTGGGGGCGCAGGGGGTCAAATTAACTCTGGGGTAGGCACTGGTCCCTTCAGATCCCGCCCTGGGGCTCCACACGGAATGGTCTGCAGCTTCTGTTCCTGATCTCCCAGGGCCTTCTGCACCACAGGACAAACCGAGGGTGCACAGGGCAGGGTGTGAGGGACCCTGGCCAAGTCCCAAAGCCTTGTCTTCTCAAACTCAACTGCCTCATGGGCGTGGGGATAATGCCCCCTGATGTGACTCTGGCCCTTGTGGGGACAGCTTCATGGCATCCTTCAGACTTCCTTAGCACCCACTGGCCTCCCAGCAAACTCCTTAGCCTGATATTTAAGGTCCCTCCTGCCAAACTCAGCAAATGCAGCTCCCCCATCAACCTCTCCTCCTCTCCCACCATGCCCCAGCCATGCTGCCTTTCAGGTCTTGGAACATACTCCACTCTTGCCCATGGCAGGGCCTTTGCAACTACTCCCTCTGCTGAAATGCTCTTCTCTCAAGAACAAGGCTCATTTATTCCCACTGGCGTGTTTCCATGAGAAAGGCTTTACTGGAGCAA